GCCGCCGCCGCCGCCGCCCCTTCCATGTTCTTGTTGAGCTCGTCGGCCACCAGGCCGCCGCCGTTGTCGTAGAGAAACATGACGGTGGGCTCGATCCAGCGGGGGTGGAGGAGCACGGAGGCTGTCATAGCCCGAGCCGCATGGAGAAGACCCCAGTGGCGCTGTTTTAAAAAGCCCCCAAGAAGTGAAGAGCGCGCGGCGCGGGGCCGGGGCCCGAGCGAGGGGGGCGGATCGCGCCCTGCGGGGTCGCGCCAGGCGGCCGCCCATTGGCTCGCCCCCCCGCCCCGCCCCCGGCGTATGCAAAGCGGGCGGCTCCGGCCGGGCTCCGCACGGGGCACCCGCGGTCCCAGCCGCCGAGCGCTCGGTCCCCGGCGCCAGGGCTCGCCGCGCGGCTGTGCACCCTTCATCCCGGGGAGAGGCGGGGGCCGCGGGCGGGCGAGCGGGCGAAGAGGGGAGGGAAGTCCCTTTTCGGTCCCCCTTCCCTTCCTGTCTCCCTTGGCGGGGAGGGGACGTGGGCGCACCGTTGGGTTACGACCAGAGGCCGTGGGGACGGGTCAGGCAAAATCCTCCTGTGGCCAGGGATGAAAGACCGATGAAGACGGGACTAGCCTAGATCAGGCTGAGTGTTTCTCGGGGATTTGGGGGCTTTCTTTCCAGGTGTCTTAGCGTCTTTCTGCGGGGAGACCACAGGACGGATATCGTCGCTTTCCGCTTAGACCACGTCAGGGGAACAGAGGCAGGGTGTTGGCTACTTGTCGGTTCCCGCGGTTACGCCTGGCTCTGGGGTCCCAGGACATCCCACTGAGACGCTTGGACTGGACTTAGGAGCTCCCTTCCTTTCCCTGTCCACAGTCTTAGTGGACGGTTTTCGTACACTTGCATTTAGGCCCATAGACGCAGACAGAACCCGTCACGCACGCTTGAGTGTACACTGATGCGCCCAGTTTTGTACATAGCCTATTTTTCCGATCTGACCCAGTAACAATTCTTCCTCCTCCTCCAGAGACTTTGGGATGGAGAGAAGACCATTCACCCATGCTCCCGTCTCTCCAGTTGCTGGCTCCTCATGGAAGGGGCTTAAAGAGGAACAGGCCCCAGCTGGTCTGCTGGCCGGGACTCCAGGGGCCTCACGAAAGCTGCTCCATAGAGCCCGGGTTGGACCTGATTCTCCAGACATCTGGGAACCCACTTTTGGATTCCATTTTTGGGAAAAGAGAAAAGGGTTCTTTGGGGGGGTCACTTCATGTCTTCCCCTCAGGTAGGAGCTCCAGCCTGCAGAGGGTGCCCAGTGCCCAAGAACCAGCCTAAGAAGCTTTTCCTGTGTGCCTGGGAAATGCGACCCTTTTCTGGTAGCACTGTGGGTGCTGGTACTGGAAGAGCTAGGCAGCAACCCTTCTTGCAGCTGCCATGATTTGATGAGGGATTCTGGGGGTCCTGCCGTTTGGGGGCCAAATGTTTCCACCTCTGATTGTGTGACTGTGAGCTGGTCAGATGCCCGGAATGGGAAGAAGCATTCAAAGTGAAAGTGGGCACCTTCGGGAACATTCCAGCTGGGAACACTGGACTCCCTTCCATCCCAGGCTAACTGGTGAGCAGCCAGACTTGGATTTGCCCTGGGTCCCAGCTTGCAGCCTCAGACCTAAACTCAGAAGCTGTGCATACCACCCCACTGTTCTGCTCTCTGAGCTGCTTGGGCTTCCTGCAGGGTACAGACCAATGACTGGGGTCAGGCTTTTATCTGCCTAGATCCCGGGGTTTTCCCTGACCAATGTAAGTTTTGCCCAGTAAAACCTTCTCTGCCCCCAGTACCTCCCCCACACTGAGTGTGCCCTTTCCCTCTTGACTTCTTAGTAGTTCTGGGTAAATATTGATTTGCCCCCGGTTTACCTTCTCCCTGACTAGCCATTTGCAGACTGAGGAATTGGGCTCTGTAAAGACTTGATTTTTGTGTTACTTTCCGGCCATTTCGTCCCCCACCCTCTTCTCCCTCTAAGTGGCATTGTAAAACTCACAGTGACAAAGAGACAGGGTAGGGTTGGAAGGCTCAGTTCCTGGGGACTTGAGGGTGGTTTTACATACGGGTCAGACAAGGCTGGAGGCCAAGGTCAAGTTGAAAGTTGCAGTCTAGTCAGCGTGAGAAAACTGCCCTGCAAGCCTGGAGACCGAGGCAGCTGTGCGGAGCGGCTGCGAAAGGCCCACTACCCATCTCCCTTCACTTCTAATTCCTTTTTTTGTTTGGAATTCTAGTTTCTGGCTGTTTGGCTGCCCAGTATTTTATTTTTTCTGCCTTTGTGGAGTTTTGGGGCAGTATTTACTGACTCTTCTTCTCGGCCTCCACCCTGCTCTTCGCAGGGGCTTTGAGCCTCTTCTGTTTTCCAGCTAGTCCCAGAAAAACGAAAAGACAGCTTGGGAAGCCCCCAGCAACCGACGCCTGTGCCAGCTCACCTCTGGCCGTGGTGAGGCGGCTGGTGCGCACGAGCAGCCAAGGCCAGCTCCGTGTCCTTCCCTCCCCCTCCCGCTTCACTGGAGCCGGGAGCCTTTTATGCAGACTGCCAAAGTGGACTAGGTCCTTCCTCACCAAAAATGGTGAGACAAGATTTCATCTTGTTCGCTGAGGAGCCACAACCAGGTTTGTCTGGGACGGAAGGCGCTGGGAAGGGAGAAGAGGAAGGCTTTGGGTTGCAGCTCAGATTCATTTGGCTTTGCTTCTCACACATGGCGCCCCCACCAGGGAAGGGCTTGGGGCCCATATTATTGAGATTTATGTCTCCTTATCATTTTAAAAAAAACCTCTGAAGACATGCTTACTTAGAGGGAGGCAGCCTGCTTCTCTCTTGTCTCAGATCACGATATGTATGATGTGATTTTTCTGTCAGGTATGTCAGTGGCGTCTTGGGATGCTTTCACTATTTTTAAGTGCCTGCATGTCCTACTAAATATTGAGCTGTAGGCATTAATCAGTGGAAATGGTTTATATAATTAGAATGAGTTCTGTGAATAATTGTGGGTATGAGTTTCTAGAATTTCAACCTACTTTGAAGCAAGAATAATCCCCTTTCAGTATTTCACTGATAAGCCTTTCATTAATGGTTCCCAGTGTGGATTCTTACTCCACCAGGCAATCACCAAACTGGCTTACTGTAGAAAAAGAAAGGTCCAGAGGACAATAAAGACTGGACTGTGTTCTTAGAGACCAACGCAGATACTCCCGGCATTCTGCCCCTTTCCCCAAAGGCAAGCTCAAGATTTGCTTGCCTGCCCAACTAGTGGTGCCTGATCTCCTTAGCTGCCCCCTGATTTTTGTCCCCACAGGCTCAGGGTTTCCTATAGGATTACAAAGAAGCATTGTCAGTTTAACAATTTTATCCTCAGACTTTCCATGGGTTAAGCTGAGGAAGCCAGGGCACACACTGGGATCTTCGGCAGCAGCGGCCACTTGAGCAAGAGAGCCAAGGAGAGGGGCTGTGTGGGTGGAGGTGGAAGAGGCTTTGGTCAACCCCAGGACCTGTCTGGTGCCCCCAGGTTTTTCTGGAGTCCTCCTGAGAGGGCAGTGAGGGGCAGCACCTGAGAGGGCTGGACGCAGCCTGGCTTTTTGTTCAAGGGGTTATAGATCCTTTCTCTTGCTCCAAAACACCTTGGTTTCTTACCTTGTGGGGTGGCCTAGGCCTCCCTATAGGGATTTGGCTGCCCTAAGCCTCCCACTGAAGAACGAGACCTTGGCTGGGGTTTCTTGTGAGGAGGACTTGATGATGCCAGCCTGGGCCAAGGGCCCCTGGGGATCCAGGGTTGGAAGAGAAAAGGACAAAGGGAAAGCAGGTTTTGATTGAATTTGATTTCATTTGCAAATGAAATTTACCTGCTATCACTTTAGCTCGGAGGAGACTGTCAGCACTACTCCCTGGCATTACTTCTTTGCATCTATCCAACGTTAGGATAAACATTCCTCCTTGGTTTTAAAGACACTCTGTATTTCAGGATATTCATGTGTTTCTAATGTATCCAAGCAGCTTTATGAGCCACATTTGCAGAACATCTTAACCCTGTCTCTTCCACCCAGGGCGGACTGGGGATGCAAAGATAATGGCAAAAGAAGAAAGATCCAGGAGGTGGGGGTTGAGAGGTGGAGCTGGCTAGGAAGGAGAGAGAGGGAACATTTTCAAACAGGGTACTACTTCAGAGTTCTCACTGGAGCAAACCATTTGGGAAAGGGGCAAATGGGGGACTGCTGTATTTATGGTGTAATTTTTGAGGGTTCACACCCCTATTCCCATCAGGGTGGAACTGTATGCTTTTTGCTTAAAGGGAAAGGGTCAGTCTTGAAACCTGGGCTGGCTGGTGAGCAGGGGAATGGTGCGTTCTGTCATCCACTTAAGCTTTTGTGTTAGATGTTTGCACATTTGAAGGAACAATGAGGTACTGAAAGGCTCAAGGCTCTGGGGATAGTTTTGGGCCATGGAAAGACACTGCACTGCGCAGACCAAATGCTAACTCTTGAAAGTGGAAGTGTAACGTCTGACAAGACCCACACAGAACCCGTCTTGCCTTCAAGATCCCCGCATAGGGTGGATTTTTTCGGGCAGCAAGTTTTTAGAGGAGCAGCTCTCCTGCAGCCTGCCAGGTTCCATTCCTCACCACAAAGCCTCTAGTGCAAATGGCCTCAGAAGGGTCCCCCGCTTCAGGGCCACCCTATCCTGTTTTCTCCAGAAAGCTGCTGAGGAGGGAAGAACAGGGCTCCCCAACTTTCAGAACAACCAGTCTCAGGTCTCAGGTTCCATTAACGGCACCCCCCTCCCCGCACAACGGCTTCCCGTGGCACCCGATCTCCTCGATCTCCTCGGGGCTGGGTGCAAACTTGCAGTAAAGAGCGCTCGGCCTCTGAGACTTGGCTCTGGGAAGCTCGAGTGATTCCCGAAGCCCATTTAGGGGGTGTGGGAGAGCTCCTCGCCCTGGCAGTGTCACTGTTTGGCTCTTCACCGGACCTGGAAACGCAGTCTTGTCTACAGGACTGGTTGTAGGGTAGAAGGCGGGGAAACAAGCTTCTGGGAATAGAGGCTCCGCCAACAGGAGGAACCTCATCTTGCGCGGTGCGTGGCCGTTGGCGGGCGGCGAGGACTCCCGGTTGCTGAATTGCGCAGCCCCAGCCGGCAGGGAGTGAGCTCGCCGTCACTGGGCCACGGCGTTGAGAGAGCGCAGGCGGCCGGCA